CTTGCATTCGCCCTTGCGGCGCGCGTGGGTCGTGTGCGCAGTGGCGCACGGAATTTAAAGCAACTTAAAACAAGGCGATGCTGTGGGGTGCTTATTATGCCATGCCATGTGTCACTACCGTATAGATAGCCCTTCTATCTCTCAGGAAGTTCTACTAGCCAGATGTTTCCTTTTTTCGCCTTTCCTGCGAGGTCATGTTTTTTTTTCCTTTGGGTTGCGGGGGGAAAGAACACCGTTCAGTTGCTTTGTTTGAATACTTATGGAAAATATTATCGTGTTCGAAACTACGATAGCCATTCATAATCGTTCATGATTGATTTACGATAGTCGTTCGTATTAGATTTTCTTTAAAATTCCATAGTCTGTTTTTGATTCGAGAGGTTGCGTTTTTCAACTTTTCATCTCTTGATACATTAAATGAGGTGGAGCTCTGCCATGGCAAAAGCGGTACTTTTAATATTGCTCATGTGAAAGCTTATAAACCAGTACTACCAAGAGTGAAATGTTTTTCAGAGTCGAATTTAGTCCTTTTGTGTTAATACAAGAAGCGAAAGACATATTCCCCATCGGGTATCTAACTTACAGTATATTCATTAATGCACAAGGAGGCAGTGTTAATTTAGAGTAATCATTATTAATGTAGGTGACTCAGAGGTAGGGCGCTGGCTTTCTGACCCGAAGGACTCAGGTTCCAATCTCGACGTAGGTTGGAATTTGTATCTGGTGATTTCCATTGAGGGCGGCTCTGAGGTCGGCTCAGCCTCCTTTCCGAGTGAGTACCAGGACCTTTTCTGGTGGTAAAGGCGGCACTAGCGTTGTGCTCGCCTAACAACCTCATCCTTGTGCCGCGGGCGTCGACTATGTGGCCACATCGACCTGTGTGCAATTGCACAGGGATACCTTTACCTTCTATTAATGTACTTTACTTTGGATATTTATATTAATACTGAGCGATATTGCCTGATTTTCATTGCTTCCCTGAAACAAGTATGACCATTTTTGGACAAGGGAAGTTCTGTCCCGAATTAATCACTAATTTCATCTCTTTCAAACGCGGTATAAAACGTAAATTTAAAGACTTACTAATTAAGAATTGTCTTTGAAATCAATAAAATTCCGAATGCAAATTATTCGAATATAATTTTCAAAAATTGAAATTAAAATTATATCCATCAATTTCAATAATTGCATAGGGAAAAAGTGGTGTTACATCAGCGCACACGTCCTCGCATTATTTGTAACGGTTACATAATATTTTAATAACGGTTGAATCCGCAATAGCGTTTTCAGCCCGCAAAAGTATTTGCTCGGCCTTGGATTCGAACCCAGGCGGTTCGGCAACGAACTGTGCTGCACTCTGGCTCGACAGCCCGCTACGGCCCTTGGCCGACCAGCGGTGACCCAGCCTCAGAGCCACGGGTAAGGGGTTCGTGTGGTTTGCACGAAGACATTCCTTCACCGTATATTCCGGTCTTCATGAGAGTGGTCTTATCACCACACAGCAACAGATACTGGTGTATTTGTAAGGAAAGCGCGCAGTTATAATTTTGCCCCGGCAGGGAATCGAACCCGGGGTTGCGCCGTGGAGAGCGAACACGAAAGCAACGAGACATCCGAGGGGGGTCTGCGCCGAACTAATCCACCAAATGTCGCTAATGACGCTGGAGCGACGGCCTCGACGCCCGCGGAAAGCAACAGCGAGGAGGCGTGCGCCGCAGCCGCAGCCGCAGCCAGCCTCCGCGAGGGCGCGGGCGGCTCGGGTTTCGCCTGGGAAGCGGAGGCGGCGCCGCGCCGCCCGGAACCGACGGATGGAAGGGGGCGGGGCGACTTTGCTGCCGAGGACTTGCTTGGGGCGAGCGGCGACAGACGTAGCCCGAGCTGCAAGATTTTGGGGAAACCCCAATAGCAAATAACCAATCGACTCTGTTATTCGTGTTACCCATCGAGTACTTTTCAAATTACCGTTTTCTTATAACATTAAATCATACCCACCAGAAATGCCGTTTCTTGGAATAAGTGTACTTAATTGTTCATTCGTCATATTTTATTATAACTCATTTGCTTTCATTGTGCGTAACAGACATCGGCTGGTAAGAGTGGTTTTTCGTTCTTCTGTTAGAATGTGGATATAACAGTACAGCATTTTGAAGCGATGATCTTTGTCGAAGTATTTGCTTTTGTGTCAGAAAAATGAAGATCGTGAAAGATGAATATTCGATTAGATGCGGAAGTATTAGTAATTGAGGGGAATTCCTTAATTTTGGAATTTAAGCGGTTTTTCTTCGTGCGTGATTCCGGAGTGTAGTCTTCCTTAAAACACCGTCGATGACCACTAAGGGAGCTGACGAGGGCCTTCGATCCCGGCCAGAGCAGCGCCACCGCTGTCTCGTTTGCCCGGAGGGCGTGGGCGCCGTGGGCGAGTGTGGTCGCGCGCCTCCCACCTGTTCGCCGCCGCGACGCCCTTCCTACCCGGCCAGCCGGCCCTCCTGCTCCTCGCGCTATTCTCGTAGCGCCCAGACGCCCCCGCGAAGACGGTTTCGTCTTCACCCCCGGTATTGCGACGTTGTCAACTCCAGTGGCACTTTCGTGCATGTGGAGCCCGCCCTCGACGAGCCATAATCGGGAACGACCACACACGAGTGAATTGCAAATTGATGTGTAATACTCTCGACGACTACGTTTTTAAACTTATTTTTATCGAGTTTCTATGCAGTAAATTCAATATTGAAAAACTGATCTGTAGTATTGATCGATATTTTGTGTTAAATGTATAAACAAGGCTTCTGTGAACCAAGGTTGGCTACATTTTTTCCACCCCCCCCCAAAAAAAACACCCATTTTTTAAATCATATTAATACCCGCTAAAACATAAAATAGGTTTAAACGTTTTTTATAAATTATATCAAACAAATTAAAATTTTATAATTTTATGTATCCAAATATTCATTAAAGACCCACATTTAATTACAACAAACATAAGCAAGTTATGAAAAGCAATAAAATTAATGTAATAAAAATGTATAAAAATATTATTCCCATATGTAGTAAATTACTTTCTCTAACATGTGGCAGGAATCCATTTTTTGTGTGTCCTTGGTACCGAAAAATCGATTGACATCAAAACGCCTGTCCATCCGTCCGTTTGTCTGTGGTCAACGCTAGCGCCTAAACCATTCAGCCGATTTTCCCCAAAAATTGATATTCCCTGATCGATCTGAACGAGCTCAAGGCTTTAGGAGTTTCAGACAAATTTTCATTTGTGAGGGTACTTTACATGAAATCTCAACATTTTCAAAAATGTATCAAAAATCGCTCCAAATGTTTTGATACACTATGTCTTCGAATAGTGTAAAGGGCGCTTAAGAGAAATGGTGCAGGTCTCATGTTCGTTGACATTCTTTATTTATAACTACAATATTGAAGATGCAATATTTTTCCGTAATGAAATATTTTCCTGAAATAACGTCAAGTTCAATTTTTCGAAAGTATGAGCAGTTTTCGTGTATTTTTGTGCTAAATATAAGAATTTTTTGACATTTTTTCTCAAAATACGCTTTACATTTTCTCCTTGTGCGTATAAATAAAAAAGTGTTAGCCCCGTTTTCGGCGAACATTTCAAAACTACAAAATTGAAGATAGTAATTTTAAGTATGTTAAATAAACAACTCGTTAAAAATGATCATGTACAATTCTTTGGAAAAAAGAACTCGGCGGATTTAATGTAATTTGGGTCTGAAATTTATGTTATTTTTAAAAAATTCTCAAAAACTGCGCAATTTAAAAAATCTCTTGTGGTATGTAACAAAGGACGGGAAAAATATGGCGCTAGTCCCATTTTCACTAAACTCTCCGTATTTTCGAAATTTGCAAAAATTATGTTTTTGAAATATTGTATTGAAACAATTTCATTTTTAAGCGTTGGCTTAAATTCAAAACTTGCGTCGTAGAGGTGAGGTGAGTTAACTTAGAGGACTTGAGTTCCAGTCTCGGTGCGGAAAAAATATTTTGCTGGTTTGAAAAGCATTTTTCATGTTTATGTAGTGGTATAATATAGCGGAGCATTTAGAAATAATGTGTGACAACATGAGTGGTGATAGCACCACTAAGTTTTTTACGGCGGTTGCTTCGTGAGATGTTTGTCGCAGTGGCCAGGTTTCTTCATTATTTATTTATTTGTTTTTTCAAATAATAATATTAACGCGCCATGTACGATTTAAATATGAACGTTCTCTCTACAAATGTAGAAACTGTGGACAATTTTCTGTTGTATATACCCTTTCGTTCCACACACCTAATTTTACTTGACAGTGCAAGTTCATTTAAAATACTTTTATAAGAATTCATACTGATATTGGAAAAGAACGAATGGCATTTTTTAGACCCCAACTTCTGAAAGTTCCTTGTTTTAGCCTTTGAAGGTAGTATTAAGTATCATTATGTTGAACTTAGTGGACAGTGACTATTTCAACACCAGTATATTTAAACAAACTTTAAAGAAATGGCACGCTATTTTAAACACTTCTAGAGATTTACACACAATAAAAGATTTTTGATAAATTGGTTGAACAACTACCTCGACCGAATGCTTCTAATACTCCATTGGTAATAAACTCCATAGAATTTGTCATACAACGGATGAACTTCAGACTGATCCTGTGTAAGAATTAGATATTGATTCTCTTTCAATTGAGGGAGGCATTTACATTCCTGGATAGTCATAACCTTCCGTCACAATTTCATATATTATAAAAAAAGCAATCGCGATGTTCGAAGTGCGTCTAAACATAAAATATCTCAAGCCATTTACGTTACATTTTGTTTTCCGAGTAATGGAACTTCACTAATTGTCTCGTTTCGGAAGTTATATTATAAAATCATAATCATAAAATAAATTATTCGTAACACAAATACAAAATTTGTCGCTCTATTCTTAACCTTTTTTGTGTGTTTCACGCGTGTGCCAAGCCCTCATTTCAGTTACAAGAAATAGATTATTTCAGAACTTATTGAAGACCAATAATGGATATCCAGATAAACCTCTCGTCGTGTACGACATGTTTCACGTTAAGGTATTTCTTCGAATAACTTTATCTGAACTGCTCTTGTATCACGTCCTGATAAAAGTGTTTATTCTGCGAGCGCTCAGAGACGCTGGTCGGAAGTGAGATTCTGTGGAAAGCGACCCTTGTGACTTCCTGAAGCGAATATGATTAAGATGGATTGCGTTATACAGGGAGAAAAGGTGAAATAACCCGGTTTTGCTCGAGTACCTTTCATAATCGTCTATTAAAAATCGCAGACTTCATCGCCTGCCTCGCGCCCGGGCACTCTTCCTACCGTTCGCTCTTTGGCATCGCTCGACAGCGTCCAGCAACGCAACGTTGCGGAATCCACTCATTGCAATTTGCGTGAAACCGAATTTTGCAAAAGGGAAAAAAAACAAACATTTTTCAGACGACTTTATCTATAAAATTTTGTCCGTCCGTCACTAATAGTTCGTCCTCGTCCGGTCCATCAAAGGACGCATCTCGATCTCGTGGTGAGAAGCAACCGTTGCTAGCCGGCCGCGGTGTGGGGCGCTGTTGGCGTGGAGTGGTGCTCTAGGCGCGGCCTGTTATGGCGGACGGCGAGCGCTTCCGGGCCCCGGAGACGCGCCGCCGCCGCCGCGTGCCTTCACTATCGTTGCTTCCGCCGCCCCCGCCTCCGCCCCCGCGCCTCCGGCTCCCGTTTCAGCTCGGGCGTGCCGCCTTTTTGCAGCGCCCCGGGCCCTCCGCGCCGGCGGCCGGGCGGGCGGGTGCACAGCGCGACCCTTCGCCTTGTCGAGACCTACGGGAAATCATTCTCACGTTTGGTCTGTCTTGCGATTACCGTGCGTTAAACTGGAAACTCCACTCCTTTACTGTAGTAGACATAGATTTGCTTCAAGATGGACTCGCCGAGTTTTCTCGCGAAATGCCGTGGCGCTGTAAATCGATACTTTGGTATGTCAATCAGGGGAAGACAAGTTCAGTTCTGATGAATAAATGGATAACTGGTGGAAAAAAAATATCTTATTTTGATCGTTAATATTGCTGTTTGTTTCTGACTTTCATAACATGACCATCGACGGCTGTAGTTACGCCTCTATCCCTCACTGCCACCTCTCTACGTCTCCCCTATTCCCAAAACAGGCAACACAACGGCCACTTTCTCCCAAGAGGAGACAGTTGCTAAAGTTCTACAGGAAATGTCTGTTTGATTTAAAATCACATGTAAGAAAGTAAAAAAATACATGTGTGTATTCAGATGAGTATTAAAAAATTAACAAATGATATATCATTGTATTGCATATTTTTGTAATCTATCCATTGGGAAAACATATAGTTGCATTTAAAAAATGATTTAATTTATCGAAACCGAAAAACAATTCAAACAATGTCTCTACGGCATATTACTTGTCCTGTGATTCCACACTGTTGGGTGGAAATTGAAATTCAACATCACGAGCTATTACGAAGTTATGAGGGGTATAAGAAGAGGGATTTTAGAAGTTATTAGTTGGTTGAACATACGGTATAAAAATTTTCCTCGGCACGCAGTTTTGTGGAATAGTATTTGAAGCGGTCCAAAAATTCAATGAGGATGGCGATTTTTTCAAAATTCTATTTCTATAATGCAAAAATGAAAATCCCAAACCGGCTATTTCTGAGTTAAAATCCTTTTTGACTCTGAGGCGAAAAAAAGTTTTACCGTGATCTCTATATGGAAGGATCGATGGGTGAATGGGTGTGCTTCATGCGTAATTCGGACAGGGCTTACATTGTACGTCAGGAGCACGATATGCTAGTGCCTCTCCCAAGATGTTAAGATCGGTGCTGATGGCGAAAAAATACAGTTTTGTACTTAAAAGAAATGCAAAGATACCCTAAAAATTGCGACCTTGACATAAAATTCGGTATTGAAGACGGTAAGGGGTTAATTGTTATGCCGCTTCGTCCTGAAAACTTACAAGAAGACTCTTGTTGGGTAAATAAGTATGTTTCATATGGAAGGTGCCAAAAACAGACGTTTGTTGGCCAGTTTTGTTTTCAGTCTTACCTGGCCCACGGCTGCGGGGCCACTGGGGTTGGTCAAAGGCGAGAACCACTGAACTGACCTCGCTCCCAACATCTCCTCAATCACCAAGCCCAAAACTATTCGCGTGGGTGCAGTAAAAAGGGAAAAGCTATTTTTTTTAAATGCCAGGAAAACTTTTTTTAAAATACAACTGCCCAGAACCGTACAGTTCTTCAACTTTACTAATGTGGTGAAGCTCGGAAAACAGAGTTTGCACTTAGTACAAGCGAGATTTTCTTTCTCTCGCTATCGTTAAAGAAACGAAGCCTAAGACGAGGAATTGTTTCGGTGTGACACGTCCCATCCTTTGCTTACTTGTAAATGGAATGCTACACGTTTAGAACCGACGACTTATTTTGTAGGTTTGGGTTCTATAAAGTATATTGTTTCTATAAATTGGGCATAAGATTTCTGCCCTCAATTACACATGTAAACCATTTTCATTGTGAATTTCTGCATAAATGATCAGAATAAACATTTAATAATAGCTCGCTTAGAAAGGCTTCAAGATATGACTTGTATACTGAGATTTATGCCACTCAGCTGCTGTCGGTTTCATCCAATCGGGAGCTTGAACGTCACCACTATAATGTCACTATGGTGACATTCAAACACCCGATTGGATGAATCAGCTGATTCCTGCCAGGGGCAGAGTTCAGCTTTGTCACAGCCTTAATGTAATGTACCCCACCCAACTACCCATCCAAAAAAATTAAAACATCTTGATGATTTCCGAAACGGCACACCTTACTCCTGACGTATTTCAAAGTTTCAAAACGTTTTTTCATCTGGCCTTGTTATGCGAGACACATTCTCCCGTCCACCCTGATATCCCGATTTTCGAGTACAAAATGCGCATTTGTCCTCACCACTTTGACCAATCTTAACAATCTTTGGAAGAAAAACAAGCAGTATTAGACTAATCGTGACGTGCGTGGCCAAAATAATTTAAAACACGGATTTTATGACCGAATATTCGAGATCGTATTGATGAGATAGTTCCAATACTATTCCTTCTTATAGTTATAGTTTTGGGAGGAAAAGTAATAAAATGTATCGAATGCCAAGTAACTAATATTTAAACGTATGCCGTAGGTCCATTTCATTTAAAGTTGCATCCTCAGACGACAATTTTGCATCCATCATCCGCAATTTTGTTTTATTTTTTAAATTTCTTCTATCCTTTATCTCGTGTCCTTCAACTATTGTATAGTATGAGATAAACCAAATCACATTTTAAACTGTGTTTCAAAGGGAAGTGTGCATAATATTTTCATTTTTGAAGAGTTTTAACTTGTAACATTTTATTTTACAAATGAAGCCGAAATACCTCAGTAATACATAGTCACGCAAAATCATTGATTTTTGAAACAATTTAACTATGTAATTGAAAACCAGGAAGCTTGACAGTGTTTGATCGTGGAAGTCCAGCATACTCATAAAAGATATGTATATCTAGACTTTGAGTCCGTCTGTACTTTATGTGACCTGTATACAAGGAAGTGTATGCGGATTCTAATCTAGTTTTCCTACATCCATGTAGAAGTGGCTATGCAAAACCTTGACCACGTTGGTTAAATTGTCATCAACGAAAATGAATGTTTTCCCCCCACTGCAAGTGAAATGTGTCTCGTAGAAAAGTACAAGAAAGTATATACTATCATATCAAAATGTTAAATGTTTTTCCTCACACCTCGAAATCTACGTTGGGATTTAGTACCCGATTCCTGAAGAAATGTGCTCATATATTAGCAACTTCACTTTACAAATAGCTATCGATTCGAGAACAGTATAAACGCCAGCTTCCTCCAAAGTTCCTTATGTTAAGTAAAATTAATGGTATTTACTGTGCGATATATTTTCTTCATAAATAGACGGTCATGTCCTTCTTGACTCATTTCAATCTTGGGGATCCAGGGGTCTGATCTGTATTCTTCAGTTTTTCATAATTAGCAGCTTCGCTGTCAGGATATTCTAAATTTTGTTTTATTTTCTCGATTACTTACGTAGTATAGAGAAAGTTAAATAGTGCTGCGGCGAAAAAGGGTGTGTTTTGAGCAGAAAAAGTCAAACGATACCTGATACCGAAAAATGGATAATATTTGGATAGTACGAGTTAGTGAGAGCATATCGAGAACACCTTTTTTAAAGGTGTGTAGATGCACCTTTCAATTCCTTCTTTTTTCGGCAAATCGATTATTCATTTGTGTAACAAAGCGTAAATTGTAAATTTCATCATACAAACGTTTTTGTCATCTAATTCTAATTTACAAAACAAAACAAAAATCACACAATACTATTATAAATTTACTTGTTACCTCAATAAATTTAACTTACCATCCCTGATTGTCTTTGTGACAAATAGTTTTTGTGTACCCCTATTTGAACCAAGAATCTTAATATAATAAAGATTTTAAATTATTTTTTAACTTTAGAATAATGCCGTTTAATATAGAAATTCATTTTATGATATGACAAAACTGAACGACCCATTTTAATGTTTTTTTTGTGTATTTTTTGTCGATTAATAAGTCGTTTTTTACCCTTTTACGTCATTTTTAATGCATTTTTGCTGATTTCATAGTTTTTATTAAAATTTTAATGGTACTTGCTTCAAACATTATTTACGAGGTGCAACAAATGTTCCCCACAGAATTCCTGAGTAGCGTATTCGATTTCGTCGCTCATATATTGTAAAGTCAGCTGTTGTGAGTTCTGTGTAATCTAATGATCCTATGATGTTTATCGGCGCCATTGTGCGCTTACGTTTTGCAAGCTGAGTTCATGTGAACAGATAGAAGCAGCCTCGATTGCATCAGTAACATATTCTACGACTAGAGTTGTTCATCTGAAGTGGTTTTGATCAGTTTTTTTACGTCTTTTTCTTTTTGTTTAGGGCATTTTAAAGTATTTTAAGAGCATTTTATTGATCGTATTTGGTTATGTTTTAGGTCATCAAAATCCGCCCAGTATT